CCCCCCCCGGTGGACGGATTCTAAGCGGATGTTTGCCAACTCACTGACTATCATCTGGACTCTCCTTGTCACAAGTGCGTGCATATTATAATCCCGCAGATATCCCTCTCCTTCCCCTCTGCAGGTGTCTGGACCAGTACCGCTGCCCACCCCGTTATTGAACTGACCTCAGAGTAAGATACGGAAGCGGAGTTTTTTTGCTTAATGTCTCCACTCTCTATTTAAGGTCCATCTCTAAGGTACATACGGGACTCTGGCTGGTGAAGGTAGTAGGACAGCCTTGATGCTTTTTTAATGCCTCGTCTAGTTTTATGCCCCCTGGTGCTCGTTTTGTCGCCAGTTGGAACCCGTCTATCAAGAGGCTGCCCTGACTCTGTCGCGTATCTTGCCGGAAGTCCATGTTGCCCGGATCGATGTTCCTGCCAATCCTACGGTCTCCACAGACTTCAGCATCAGAGGCTACCCTACCATAATTTTGTGAGTCTAGTAATAATCTATTTCATAGCCACGTCCTCGTTTACTTTGCATAACTATCTACTTATTTCTTCATAGTAAGCCATTAGTTTTTGGGGTGGGGGTGGTGGCTGCTGCTGCTATCGTTGAAGGATTTGCTTGAGCGTTGAGGGCGTAGACAGTTGGTAGTATAGGTAGATAATATTGCTGGCAAAAACAAGAGAGACTGGAATGGCCATTTCTCGCTTATGTGCCGTCATCAGCCAGTCATATCCAGATCAAAGTTGTTTCCGACTACTGTTAACAATAACTGAAGAGCGTGTCGTATTGCAGTGTTTCCGAGGTCAGAAGTTATGTCGAAGGACGGTCAGATAAGTGGGTTAACTGTGTTATGCTGTTGGCCTTTTCGTATCGCAGTGCTACGTTTCGCCACCTGAATAGACGCACTCAAGGTCAAAACGTTATGTCAAATGACAGTCAGTCAGTCGGATATTCTATATACAGTAGACGCCAAAGATCACACAACATTGCTAAATATGCGAAAGACTGATACTCTTTCGCTAATCGGCACTGACTCAATTTGTGATACTGATTATCGTGTAGTCTATTCTGACGTCATTTCAGTCATAATAGCATGTGGGCTTTTTGACGAGTTTCGTTCTGAGCACTAGGAAAAAGTATCTATTATAAAATCTGGCTGCTTAAATAGTATGCCTTCTTATCATTTACTTTGAATGCTTTCATATATTCAACTATATTTTATGGAAAACATGCACGAAAAAATTATTTCTTGTACTTTTTTGACTTTTTTAAATGCTATATTCAAATATAGGGTAGCTTTCGGTTTTTTAAAAGTTGGTCAATTGCCGAATAATCTTCTAAACTATTGACTGCTACACTCGAATTCAAGGTTTAAAAACTGCCCACTGTGTATATATTGTGTAAGGAAATGTGCATTTTCGCCTACAGTTTGAGGAAGAAGTCACCTAGTAGTCATAAAATATTG